ACATCAAGACCACGGGTTCATATGATCTGAAGATCAATTTTCTTGCAAATTTTATTTCTTCACTGCGTTTATGTGTCAGAACTATTCAATAGACAGGTATACAGACCAGGACTCAAAATTCTGGGTGCCAAATTTGGAGCTGTGCACCCAATATTTTTCTGCACCCAAATTATTTTCTTAGGTTTTTGTATGTGAAGAATAAAAAAAATATTTTAAATGTATTAGTATACAGCGTATTCTTAACATCCAAGTGTCAGAAAAATAATAAAATTATTGTGACATTATATTTATTTGATTTTATATGGTGCACCCAATATTTTTGTGCACCCAATTTTTTAGGTTGGGTGCACCAGTGCACCTATTCGCAAAAACGAATTTGGAGCCCTGCAGAGCTTTGATTTTTGACAGCTGACATCTATCTTATAAGGTTTTAGTCTGACTTGTACAAAGTGCAGCTGTCTTTAATCCCTCTTAAGCCTGGTCTGGAGTTTATCTGTGGTAATTGTATTTAAAGCTGTACATATGACCAGCACGGTGATGTCAAATTGAAGTGATTATGATATTAAGAGTTGTTTCAAAAAGACAACAATGCAAGCAGCAACTAAAACATGCCAAAACACAAACAACAACAATGCGTCCCTCAAAGAACCTACTTATTTTTAAGATTACAGAATTTACATGCAGTGATATTTTGATTTTTAGTATTTTGAACCAGTTGGTATGATATTTTGAACCATGTACATAGAAGAGAGTAAGGTTATTATGCAATTGTTGCGTAATTTGTAATTTAATGGTCATAGTATTATTATTTCTAATGTTGTAATTATGGCACTTTATATGATAATAGCAGCAAAGGATGGATATTTACAAAATATTATTTGATTTTCTCTACGTTTTCCGTATAGCTATATATTACAGATACATGAGATAACACTCAGTGGTATTGCATGGATCTTCTATATGTACATGTGTGAGATACTGGATAGTCAGCCCACTTCTACACTTGTGGGGTCGTGTGGCGTAGCGATGGCGTGTTCGGCCCAGGCCCAAGAGGTCCCGGGTTCGAATCCTGCCCGATCTTGTGCCATTGAAAAAAGCACTATACACGACTTCACTCAGGTGTAAATGAGTACCTAGCTTCGGTTAGGGACGTCCCTCGGATAGGACGTTAGATGGAGGTCCCGTGTTTGGGAGAGCCAAACCCCACGCACGTTAAAGAACCCATTGCACTTATCGAAAATAGTACGGTGTGAAGTGAGTGGTTCAAACCTTACAGTCTGGTCTCAGGTTTGACATCTTGAAGAGGTGATAGTCACCTGTTATATATGTCAGTCCTTCCACAAATGTCGTATATCTTCATAAAATAAAATAAAATAAAATAAAATAAAAACATCACTCTATGACATCCATCGCGTAAAATGAACTTTGCTCGTTGACGTTATCATTTGGCCGGCCCTTTGGCGGAGGCCGCCGACAGAAGAGCTGTTTGAGGCAGTCCTGAAAGTTGGTCCCCATGAGCGCGTAGATGACGGGGTCCAGGGCACTGTTCCCGAAGAACAGCGGCTTGACCCACATCCCTGACGGAAGGAAACAATCACATGTCAGTGTGACTTTTGCAAGGTTTCATCGCGCCGTATGTGCTGTCACATGTTACTGTCGTTTTATCGAGCAGGAGAATTGTATCATTTAATATATCACAGTACTTCTGTGTGCATCTCTGAAAGTAAGAACATAGAGACATATTTCTGTCAATCATACATCTGCATCGTACCATGCAAATGCTACTGTACATCAGCAGATTGTGGTTAGGGTTGTTGACTCAAAATCTGAAGGTTTTGGGTTCGAATCCCTGGCAGGCCCCACTGTTGTGCCTTTGAGAAAGGCACCTTTTCCTCACTTCACTCAGGGGTAAATGAGTACCTAGCTTCGGTTAGGGAGGTCCCATGTATAAAAAGAACCACATCTTGAGCACGTTTAACTTAAGATCCCACCACACTTATTGAAAAGAGCAGGAGACCCCGGTGTGAGTGGTGCAAACCACACAGTCTGGTCTCAGATTTGTCTTCTTGAAGAGGTGATAGTCACATGTCAAAATGTAAACCTTCATAAATGGTACACTATGGTTACTTACCTACATACTCAGATATGTGTATGTCTGATACTGCTCTGATGAAGTTGTACAGGTGGAACGGACCCGTGCAGACCACGAATGATGCTGTCATAAATGCCGGCATTTTGGTAACGGCTGTCGCCGAATCTTTCTCGCGTTGCCTGGTCGCAGCTGACCGGAAAGCCTGTTAAGGAATCGACAAAAATTGGTTCTGCTGTGTCCTACTTTGCTCTAATGTGTTCCCATTTGTATATAGTAGAAAAGAATACAAATATGATGTAACATCAGCGAATTTGAGAATTAGTTCAAATCAACCAAACATTATACAATACAAGTTTATGTGATGAGTCAAGCCCTTGTCGACACTCATTCAGAACCTTCCCCCGATCATCAGCCGACCAAGGTTTGACCAGTCTGACCAGATTTAGGCCATACGTACCATTCTATACGAATCGAATTTGAGTTAAGTTTGAGTCAAATTTTACTGCCAACCACACCCCGACGTACTCTCGAACACCAGCCAACCATATGGCCAGAGCTCTCGTCCACATCCGAATGTTTTAAACATTTTGAACCGTTCTGGCCTAGCTATAACCGACCAGCCCGAACACCGACCGACTCAGCAAACCTTGCTCCCGACCTACTCCCAACCATGGTTGGGGAGAGTTCGCGAATGTTCGGCAGGCAATATGCAAATATTGGACTATGTGTGACAAGAGCTTTAGAATTAGATGCCGTACTCACATCCTGACGCCGCAGCTTACGAATGATGAGGACGTACAGGGTGAAGTTGAAGCTGAGCGGCAGGAGGAACCCCAGACTGGTGAGGTACAACCGCCGGGCCTTCTCCGCAAACTTCGGGACGCTCCGCCACTCGGGCCAGAAGTACCGGCACACCGTCGCGTTCCTCCCGCCTACATCCTCCTCCACCACCACAGACGTCACGCAGAACGGCAGGTTTGCAACAAGCGCCAGGACGAACATACTCAGACAGATGACAGCGGCTTTCCGCACGCTCTGGCGCCGTCTGGTTTCCAGCGGATGCGCGATGACCTGGTAGCGCTGGACGTTAAACACGCTGACGAGAAAGAAACTGGCGAACATGCTGGTAAACTTGATACAGGACTCTGCTTCACACGAGCCAGGCCCGAACACCCACTGCCCCACGCGGTAGAAGTGAATAATAAAAGGAGCCACGGTGAGAATGGCTAAGTCAGAAAGCGCGATACAGAAGATATAAACGTTGGGAACAGTTCGCATGCGGGGGAAACGTAAGATGATGAACATGACTAGCAGGTTGCCCGCTGTACCAACCGCTGCAAACATCGACCCCACAGCGGTACCCGCATTACGGAGGACTTTCTCGCTTAGAGATAGGTCCCAAGACGAATTACTGGTACTCATGTTGAGCTGTTTGGTTCGATACAAAGGCAAGCTGGTGGGGTATATTCGTATCAATACAGCGTGCTTCTTGTCGGCTTTACGTTGCCCGTTGAAATGGACATCAATGCTTCAGACCAAACTAGAGAAACGTACTTTGCCGATGTGCTCAGTGAATCCCCTCCTTAATGGAAAAACAAGCAAAACTGTATCCTATCTTTATATCAGGCTGAAATGGTAGTCCTCTTAACAATGTGTTTGACCAATTGATGCTCAGCCTATCATGCCATTAAGGATTACGTCATTGAATATTAATGGCCGGAAGGATATAACCCAAATTATTAGCAGACATCACCTGCATTCTGTTGTATCAACATATATTTAAAACTTAATGTGTATGGGGCTCATAAGGTTACTTATACCCCATACGTATTACTATTGATCACATGTCTTCACGTTCTAATACCAAATATTAGTACTAATTTGAGCAGGTGCCTCCACTATTGCACCACGCAAAGAAACGTTTGGAGCCACTTACAATCTCTTATCCAGGGGATAAGTCTGTGATGTATTGCTATTAGTCACCTGGGTCAAGAGAAGGGCTTAGTAAACATTTCATCCATTAAGCTTTGCCATAAATCGTAAGATTATATTTACTAACGATGTTTGACGTTAAACATGATGCCATGCTGTTTGCATCATATATCCATTAACATATGAGTCATGGGCTTTTTGTTAGCAGATCCCAATTCATAAACATTTGCTTTTCAGAATCAGAATCGCATGTTATTGTTATTAGACTCCCAAGAAATATGCTAGTACGTATGTATGGGGATTTCCCATCATGCAATGGTCCAATATGGCCGTCTTCTAAATCTCTCGTAATTTCGTACCTTCGAAAATCATTTGTTTGCGACGTTTTTAGCAATTTTTTTACACTGTTGCTCCTTCTATCGACTCTTGGTGATACAAAGGACATTGTGACTTCACCTCGTGCACTGTTTTCACCGAGAAACTGTAGAGACGACGTCTTCCAGACTCAGTCAGTGACGTTCCAACATGGCGCCACGCAACCCCCCTCCCCACGAACAGAGACAGGAGGAATCCGGGAGAGTGGAACCTGTGTTTGTGCAGACCTCAGACATTGCCATAAACACCGAGGATGCACCACTCAGCTGTCTTGAAATCTGCCTAGCCGCTGAGGATGTATCCGGCCCATTTCGATCATAGGAGCACAACCGCAAGGAAGAGGAAATGCCTTTTGGCGGCTATATCCACAAACCGTCGGTGCACGCCTGACTCTTCTTCAAGCCGGCGCAATCACGCTACGAGGACAAGAGGCAAGCCTGCTCCATAAAAACCCCTACGTTGTACGACCAGACACAGCATCGACGAGAGTTGTAGTGAGTAACATACCGTTGTCTTACGATAACGAAGAAATAGCTAAAACGCTACGCTCACGTGGCTACAAGCTCACAAGTCGGGTCATCGACGAAAGGGCAAGAAACAAAGACGGCAAGTTAACACGTTTCCTAACAGGGAGAAGATTCCTGTACATAGAGAAACCCTCTACCCCTTTACCACGAAGGATGTCCGTAGGACTTTTCCAGGCTGATTTCTATCACAGGGAACAGAAAGAAGCCAGCCAAACGCAGAGACTCACATGCAGCAACTGTCTTGAAACGGGGCATCACAAGAGTGTATGCGACAAACCTGTTGTATGTGTTCAGTGCAAAAAACCTGGACATAAGCGTGGTGATCCTGCTTGCAACCTTGGCATGGATTCTGAAGATGAGCAGTCGGATGAGAACAGCTGTGTCAGCGACGAGCAGGACAGAGGGACATCTCCTGACAGCGAAGAACCAACAGCTCCACCAAGCATCGTGCAACACAACACAAGAAGCAGAAGCAAGAGTCACAGCCACAAGAACAATGATGAACACAAAAAGCAAAAGAAGACTGATGACATCACAAACGACAAGCCTACAGAAATGTGTGAGCTATCAGACTCTACACAGCCCACACTAGAAAACTGGCTTAAGGAGCAGAGACAATCCTATAGTAAACAGAAGCAGGGTACAAAAGGAAGCAGTAAGTCACGAAAAAAACCTACTTGTACCTAGGTGTATATTGTGTATGTCAAATGTCAGGTAACTCTCTCTTCAATAATGTTCATCCAACTCTCTTGAAAGATGTGGATGGATAAATTGAAGTTGATATCCTTTAACTGTAGAGGTTTAAGAAACTATAATAAACGAAATCAAACATTACTGTGGCTGAAAAAAAAAAAAGCAGATATATGCCTCTTACAAGAAACCTACCTGACAGGTGATATACAACAAAGCATTGACAAACACTGGGGTGGTAAGACTATCCATTCTTATGGAACAAATCATAGTAAGGGTGTTAGTATCCTTTTTAACCCAAAAGTACCATTTGATATTCTAGAACACAAAATTGACCATGAAGGAAGAAAAATTATTGTAAATTTTATGTATGAGAAGGAGAAATACACCTTACTATGTATTTATGCCCCCAATGATCCTAGAGAAAGAAGTAATTTCCTGTATGGTATTCAGGATTGGCTGAAAGATTGGAATCTCTATCCAATGCTTGTTGGTGGAGATTTTAATGACATATTTGATACAAGCCTTGATAAAATAGGTGGGTCTACCATTGAAAAAAATCAGCCATTGAAAGATTTCTGTCGCTCTTTTGATCTAATTGACATTTTCCGATATCTACATCCATGCCTTAAGAAATATTCTTGGAGAAGGAAAACACCAGCAGTCGCCTGCAGACTTGATTACTGGCTTGTATCAAGCACATGTAGAAGTAATGTCTCTGAAGCTGGACATTATCCTGGAATAAGAAGTGATCATAATGCTGTATTCATAGATCTGTATACTAAGAAAATACCAAAAGGCAACGGAATTTGGAAATTAAATGTAAGTCTCCTAAATGACCCAACTTACAAACAAGAAGTTGAAAAAATCATAATTGATACCAAAATGGAATTTAAAAGTAATAAGCCAGATCTAATCTGGGAAATGTGCAAGATAAAAATAAAGGAGTTCTCCATTTCTTGGTCAAAACAACAAGCAAAAGAAAGAAATAGTCTGGAAAAAAGCTTATTGTCCAAATTGGAAGAAATTGAGAAAGACATTAATGAAAATCTAGATACCCAACTTTTAGCAGAGTACGACTCTACAAAGAAACAGTTAGAAAAAATTTATGAAGATAGAGCAAAAGGAGAACAGATCAGAGCAAAAACCATCCACATTACTGAAGGGGAAAAACCCAGCAAGTATTTTTTAAATTTAGGAAAAGAAAAGCAAGCACAAAATTGTGTAACAGCCTTATCTGTAAGAAAATTCAAAGATTCAAGATCAGCCTACTATATTAAAAGAATGTCGGAATTTTTATAAAACTCTATATACATCTAAAACATTGCAGATAACGAAATTGATGAATATCTTGAGAAAATTAACATTCCTAAAACACTTACAGAAGAGGAGAAAGATAACTGTGAAAAACCAATCTCAGAACTTGAGTGTGAGACAGCTGTTAGAAATATGAAAGATGGAAAATCACCGGGATCTGATGGTCTCCCTGGCGCATTTTACAAAGTATTCTGGCCTCAGATAAGCTCTCTGATCCATGATGTTATTACAATGGGTCTCAATGAAGGAAAACTGCCATGTTCGTTTAGAAAAGCCTTGCTAAGATTGCTTTTCAAGAAAGGAGACCCTGAGTCTTTAGATAACTGGAGACCTTTGAGCTTATTAAATACTGATTACAAAATACTCGCATTTATATTGGCCAACAGAATCAAACCCCATCTTGATAAATTAATAAACAACGACCAGACGGCATACATTAAAGGCCGTTTCATCGGTCAGAATGTTAGATTAATAAATGGATATCCATAGATTACTGCGATGACAAGAATAACCCTGGGATGATTCTTTTTTAGACTTCGAAAAAGCATTCGGATACCATTGAACACAACTTTATGGTTAAAGTTCTTGATAGTTTAACTTTGGACCCACTTTTATCAGCTGGGTAAAAACATTTACACAGACTGCATTGCATCAATAATAAACAATGGATGGAGAACAGCCACTATTCAAATTAAACGGGGTATCAAGCAAGGCTGCCCCCTTAGCGTCTCTCCTTTTTTTATTTGTTGTTGAGATACTGTTTCATATTATACAATGTAACAAAAATGTAGAAGGAATTATGATAGATGAAAACGAAATTAAATTATGTCAAGTTGCGGATGATATTACATTATTCCTATCTAGTGAAGAATCACTGATTGAAGTGTTAAGATGTATTGGTCACTTTCACATTGTCACAGGTCTCAAACTAAATAGATTAAAAACAAAAGGACTGTGGCTAGGCCCATGGAAAGATAGAAAGAAACAGTTGGAAGGGATTGAGTGGCCCTCAGAGCCTATTAAATCCTTAGGAGTTTACTTTGGACATTGTAAAGATACTCTTGTACAACTGAATTGGGATGAAAGAGTAAAACAATTGAAAATAGTA